GCGTCTCCCGTCAGGCCGCTTTCAAAAGTGACTCAGCAGGTCTGGAGTGGGATGTCGGTTTCTCTACCTTTGCCCTGCTCCGTTCTCGCTGTTCTTCCGAGTTGTGTGGATCTTTTTGGCTCCACACTGTCCCAGGGAGCCTCACGGACCTCTCCCTGCGATTCCCTGCTGTTCCACTTTGCTGCTTCTGTAACTTTCTATCCCTCTTTCACTGGACGCTCTCTCACAGCCTTCCTCCTACGTCGGCCATCTTCTCTCTGACAAATACTGTGTTTTACAGGAAGCTAGAAACATGAGCACAGGCGGGACTTAGTCCCAGGCACTGCAACATGGGACACAGCTATCTTACCTGAATGCTTAATTGCAGCACCTGCTGTGGTACTGAAGCCTGACTGTCTTACCAGACCCCGCTGACAGCTCATATGATGAAAAATAAGATTCAGAAGGCAGGTGGAGGTGGTGGCAGGGACAGCCAAGAGTGTGGCCTCCCACCTTCCCTCCTTTTCCCTCACCATGGAGCTCTGTGGTTGAGGCTCACTCTGGAGGTGTTATATTTACCCTTATTAGTTATTTAAAACACATGGTATAGTAGGCTAAGCCTTCACCTGCAGTGGCAGCATTCCATATGGGCAATAGTTTGTGTCTCAGCTGCTCCACTTCCAATCCACCTCCCTGTTTATGGCCTGGGAAAGCAGCAGAGGATGGTTCAAGTCCTTGGGCCCCTGCTCCCATGTGGGAGACCTGGCAGAAGCTCCTGATCCTGATTGGTTCAGCTCTGGCCATTGTTGTCATTTGAGGTGTGAACTAGAGGATGAAAAATCTCTCTCTTTCTAGATAACTGGATGCCAGGAGCCCAAGAAAGCGCTAGTATTCATAGCTTACATGGTAAAAATCTGGATGCCCAGGAAACTTACTAGATGAATGTGAAAATTCAATTTTGGATTACTTGGTAAGCTTTAGTATAAAATTTTGTGGGTTACACAGTACTAATAGTTAAACCCAAGACTGTAACCCACCAGCTATACAGTGAAAATCTGGAAGCCTGATGATGGCAAAGATGTCTGCCAAAACTCATCCTTTAAATCAGGCTATAGAGTAAGCACTGGTTAAATCTGAAAGCCCAAGACTTAAGTGAATCAGTAAGGGAGGCCTGACTTACTTCCTCTTTTTTTGGTTCAGAATACAGCCTTCATCCAGTGAAAAGATGTCATAACTATCGCCCTCACAGTAGGTCTGCTAAACCCAATCCCTCAAAACAGGTAGGCCCTAAACCCAACTGCTGCCCAAGGAGGTGTCTCCTCCAAATATTTTTTTGTGTCAAACCAGGTACAAAGTCATGTTCATACTTTCTTGGACAAAGTTGGACAACTTCAGGCCCAGGATGAACAATCTTGGAAGATCTGGGTTGGCATCTAGTCCTGGAAATCCTGGTTACTGCCCCCTCCTTGGCCATACGGTTTCTAGCCTCTGTCTGCTTCTCTTGGGACCATGTGCCTTAATTCCCTTATTTGTTTTGTTCTAACAGAATACAAGCCATCCAGCTTCAGATGGTTTTGAGCCAAGGCTTCCAGCCTATCCTATCAAATGATCTGACTAGAGCTCTAGACTGAGAAAGGTGATTTCCAAGGTCACTCTCAAAGGACCATAGGACACAGAGCAAGGAAATAACCCATAAGCAGCTCTATGCCCATTTGACAACTGAGGCATCCATCCATCCTTGTGAGATTACCGGTAATTTATCTTGAGAGGTGGGAGGGGAGAGATGTTTCCTAGGAAGTTGGAAAACTAGCGTAGGATGTGAGATGGAACTAAGGAAAACAAAGCATTTGTGGAAGCTCAGAAGCTCACTTTGGAAGCAGCCCAATGTTTTACAATCCAAAGTCTTTCTCATACCCCAGTAACTTAACAGGTGATTCTTCCCAGGAGACTCTCTCCTAGCATCAAACTGGAGGACGGGAAGGAGAAAAGGTGTCAAGAACAGGACGCCAATCCCTTACAAACCCTAATTTGAGCACAGACTGCCCGCCTTTCCTGCCAGGGCTGTTCCCTCCATTGAGCCATGGAACCTTGCTCTCCCCAGTCTGAGGGCCTGGGCACATTCTGTCAGGAGAGTGCCCATCCATTTCGATGGATGCCTACTCCTTTTTTTTTTTTTAACCTTACTGCCTTGCTTACAACTGCTTTTTGTCTCACATCTGAAGTCTTCATTGCATGAAGACAAGAACCTATTCCACTCATCTTCATCTACGTATTAGTTTCTACTCTGTTTTGAGGGCAGAGCCCTTAAGCAAGCTGGGAGGGTGTGTATCACAAACCCAAAACAAGGATGAGTGGTGTCAGCAGAGCATGGGGTGAGGAGTCAGACTTTGAGTCCTGAGCATTGAATTCAGATTTGATTCAGCATGCTGTGGGGTGAGTGCACTTTTCAGATTGCTGGAGTCAAATATCAGTCTGCAGGTCCTGAAGCCTTGCAACCATTAGGGCTGTAGGAATTTACGTAGTTAGGGGGAGGAGCTAAGTTTTTACAGTGTGGGTCAATGATTGACACCAAGTTAGCTGAAGCTGCATAGCTGGAGGCTGAGCTGGAGTCTGATTGTTGCAGCTAAACCATGGGGCAAGGTGGGTTTGTAACTGACACTCCCAACCTAACTGCATCAATGGCTCCTCACTAGTCATCAGAGGTCCTTGCTTGGTAGCTCCAGGTGATTTACATTTTTGATAGCCGTGACTGACACACCATAGGATGTGGCAGTCTCGCCCTGCTCACCTAAAAAGCCCCTTCCAGCACCCCGTCCAGGCTCCCTTCTCTTCCTGCACATATGCCAGGCCTCTCTGTCTATAGTGCAGACCCAGTTCCCATGTGCCAGCAAGCCCCTGCCCCTTTCCAAGCAACAGAAACCATAAGTTCCACAACGTTGTTATCTTGTAACCAGTACCAGCTGCAAATACCCATCACAGCTGTAGGATGTGCCCTCTACGACCATTAGGTCATCATAATCAAGTTATCAAGGGGTATGCCCACTCCCATTGTGCATTTGACACTGCAACATTTTCACTATTTCCTCAAGTGGGCATGGCAATGGAGAAGGCTTGAGCCCCACCCATAACTCCACCCCTTTTAAATATTCAATAGGATTCTCACCTCTGCCATTATCCCCAATGTCTCTGGAGGGTCTCAAAAAAGGTAGGCTTAACCTTGTTGAAAAAGATTTTTCTTAAACAAGGCTTTATCTTGGTTGGGGTCTTTTTGTTGGTTTTTTTTTCTTTTGTGAACATCTTTCCACTTTTGGAAATTTTTCTTCACAGAGTTTTCTTTCTCCCTTTGGGACCTTCCTCCTGCATTTTTAGCTGTTGGGTGTTCATACTTGACTTGGTTGAGCTGCCATTTTGTTTCACTGTAAATGAATCCACTTACTGTACATCTTTATGTCTCCACCTGCAAATGCTTTCACATGTGGAGGGAAGAACCCTGTCATACATCTGAAAAGGGCTCCCCTACCGCCACCCCATCCCACACCAAATCCCACAGCACTAGCGACCCAGAGGCCACCTTGACCCACCTTTTATTGCCTATTATCCACCTTGACCATTGCCTTTTGTGGTTTAGGCCCCTGGTGAAAGGTCTCAGTTCAGAGATGAGCAACAAGAAATTTGATGAGTCGTTCCTTCTGCAAATGTTTGTTTAGAACTTATTGGGTGCTTGCACTAGACTAGGTAAGGGTCTAGGGGTGAAACTAGGTATTACCTCTTTCAAAGGTAAGACACCTTTTCAAATAAGCAATGACAGAGTCTGAACCCAAGCCCCTGGCCTTCCTGTTCAGGTTCCTCCTTCATGGCTGGGATAGTTCTCAGGTAGGAGCTCTGAGCTCTGCAGGAGCCCAGTCATTCAATCTACTTTATCTTATTTCTAAATTGTGGCTGCCCTGGGACAGACCTCTGTGTGACCCAGCCTCAGAGCCCCGGGGCTATCTAACTAGGTTTGTTTTTTAAACAATACACAACCCTGGATGACTCATGGTGGCTTTTATAATCTACTCTGAAACCTGCCATTGTCCTTCTCTGTGCTTGCCAGGGCTTTTTGGTCTCCCTTCCCAATTTCTTGGCTCTGGGCCTCCTTTTGGTGGTTATTCTGATTCCCTCCCACTGCCTGATTTCCTGTACCGCTCACCCTCCTGGACTATCCCAGTTACAAGAAGATTAGTTAATAATTTATGCTTTGTATGCCTTTAGCCCGGCAAATGGCACACCAAAGTCTGGCCACACACCCTATGCAGGAGCTGTTTGTCTAGCAGGGGGCCCAGGTGGAAAGAGTTCCTGGTAGAAAGAGTTGCTCGGTGGCCTCATTGTTCACATAGATCTTGACGTCCATTGGGCACAGCAGCTGGAGTTGGCAAACTTTCAAGGGCCTAAAAGCCCCCTAGGAACAATCCCTGGGTTGGCATCGTGGCATAGTGAGTAAAGCTGTTGTCTGCAAGCCTAAGCTTCTCTATGGAATGAGTCCTTGCTGCTGGAAAGCAGCAGAGGATGGCCCAAGTCTTAGAGCCCCTGCCACCAACATGGGAGACGCAGATGGAATTCCTGGCTCGTGGCTTCAGCCTGGCCCATCCTGGGCCACTGTGGCCATTTAGGGAATAAAATGGCAAATGGAAGATCTCTCCCTCTCTCTTTTAAATAAGTCTTAAAGGAAAGCAAAAACAAAATTTGAATTTGTAAGCACCAGTTTCTCACTTTATACCATTCTACCTATGTTCTCTGGTTACCAGGAAATCAAACCCTATCTCAAATCCTATCTTAATGCAAATGCATATAGCCAAATTATTTCTAAATCCAACTTCTTTCAGCAAAGACATCTAACGTGAAGTTCAGGCACATTTTCATATGGGATCACACCCACTTCCCCCAAGTTAGAAACTTCAGAATACTCTTTGATCCTTTTCTGTTAATGTATTCATTCAGTGACTTGTGTGTGGCAATCACTTTCAGACAACATACATATCAGGATGTTCAAGACTATGTTTAGAAGTACTAGGTTGGAGGTGTCCGCCGTGGCAAGCAGAGCCATAGGTCAGGCGGCGAAGGTTTTGCGACTCTTAAAACAGGCACAGGACCAGACAACAAGTTTTAAAAAATGATGCCAGACCATTAGAAGCAGCCAGAATAAAAATAAATGAAGAATGCAAAAGTAACAAAAGTGAGACTTCTCCTAAGAAATTAGAGGAGCTAATGAAAATAGGTTCCGATGTTGAACTGTTACTGAGAACATCTGTTATACAAGGTATCCACACAGACCACAATACACTGAAATTGGTCCCTAGGAAAGACCTTCTTTTAGAAAATATGCCATATTGTGATGCACCAACACAGAAGCAGTGAATTTTCTAGGATGAAACAAATCTTTATACCTTTCAATTTTAACATCTGCAACTGTGGCAAAAATCCTAAGTTTACATTCTTCTGGCATATTGAAAATTAATAAGAATAGCTTCATAATTAAACTTCATGTTAAAAGAACAGCACTGAAAACTGTAGAAGATAGTTACTTCTAAAGAGTACTATATAAGAAATTTTGTTTTCATTGAAAATCAAGCCATGTAAAGTGAAGTACATACTTAATGAGGTATCTTCCATTTCTTTTCTTTGGCCACAATAGTTTTTTAGCTATTTGAGAATACTTTGTTTTTAGACTGGCGCCATGGCGTGGTAGGCTGAGTCTGCACCTGCAATGTTGGCATCCCACATAGACACATATTTGAGTCCCGGCTGCTCCACTTCCTGCCAACTCCCTGCTAATCACCTGGAAAAGCAGCACAGAATTCCCCCAGTCCTTGGGATCCTGCACCCATGTGGGAGACAAAAGAAGCTCCTGGCTTCAGACCAGCCTAATTCTGGACATTGCAGCCATCTGGGGAGTGAACTCTTGGATGGAAGATCTCTGTTTCTCTCTCCATCTTTCTCTGTATCTCCCTCTCTCTTTCTGAAACTCTTTCAAGTAAAATAATGTTTTAAAAAACGATAATGCATTGTTTTGGCAAGTTAGTGAGTTTTCCTCCCATGTGAATTTATGTGTGTGTTTAAATTATTAAGATGGTGAATCCCCGCCCCCCGCTTAATTGGTCACCAGTTGTGTTGTGTGTCAGCTTTCTGCTCAAAGTGGCTCTGTTTCCTGAAGTACTGTAATTATGCCTGCAGGTACAGCTGATTGTATTGTTTCTTTTTAGAAAGAGACACTGTCCATGAAAAAACATTTATTATTCTTCTAAAGACTTATAAGTGATACATAAACATTTTCTATAGTCATGATAAACAAATCTTTTTTTTTTTAAGGAAAATTGCTCATCAAACTATAAAGAGGTCTTAGTAGAGTCAGCAGTGTTTAGAACACAGACTTCATTGAAAACATTTAATATTTGTGACATTCTCCCTGCTTTCATCTATAAAATTTAAATGGCTTCTCTTTCCACGTATCCCTTCCCTCATGAGATTATTGCTATCACTAAAGGACTTGGCCTTCTACCATCTGATACTTGGAACTAGAAGATTATATTTTGCACTTCTGTTTCTCTTTTCTCTGTTTATCATTCTGTTTTCTAAATGAGCAGTGTTTTCTCTCCTATTCACAGATGAAGAACAAGAATTTAACTATGAAAAGTTGCAAAACTTTTGTGCATTTGACCCTGCAACATTTCCACTATTTTCTTAAGTGGGCAAGGCAATGGGAAGGCTTGTAAGCTTTGTTTGCTGGCAAAATACATATTGGTTTATCCATACTGAATATTTGAGTTATCATATGTTGTCATATTTGAAAATAACTTAATTCTAGGAAATAAAATTAAGTTTAGTTGGACATAACAAACATTAAACCTGTGGTGGGGGAAAAAAAAAGAAGTACTAGGTTTACATCCAGTCAGGGCTGGGCTAGGCTGAAGCCAGGAGCCTGGAGCCTGGAGCCTGGAGCCTGGAGCCTGGAATTTCATAAACATCTCCCCCATGGGTGCAGGAGTCCAAACATCTGGACCATTTTCTGCTGCTTTCCCAAGTACATTAGCAGGGAGCTGGATAGGAATTAGAGTAGATGGGATTGCAACTGGCAGCCATGTTAGATGCTACTGATGCAGGCAGTGACTTTACTGGCTATGGCACAACACGAACCCGTTATTACTATTTTTAACATTGAATTGTCCACTTTTTTAAAGACGTATTTTATTTTTTATTAGAAAATCATATATACAGAGAGAGAAGGAGAGACAGAGAGGAAGATCTTCCAACCGCTTATTCACTCTCCAAGTGGCCACAACGGTCGGAACTGAGCCGAGCAGAAGCCATGAGCCCAGAGCCTCTTCTGAGTCTCTAACACAGGTGCAGGGTCCCAAGACTTTGGGCAGTCCTCAACTGCTTTCCCAGGCAAATGAGCAGGGAGCTGGATGGGAAGCGGGGCCACCAGGATACGAATCAGTGCCCACGTGGGATCCTGGTGTGTGCCAAGTGAGGACTTTAGCCGCTAGGCTATGGCGCGGGGCCCAAGAATTGTCAACTTTCTATTTGAAAGGCAAATAGAGGGTCTGCTATGGTAACCTAGCTGCTAATGTCCTTGCTTTTCACGTCTGGATCCCATATGGGCGCCAGTTCTAGTCCCGGCAGCTCCACTTCCCATCCAGCTTCCTGCTTGTGGCCTGGGAAAGCCGTCGAGGACAGCCCAAAGCCTTGGGACCCTGCACCTGTGTGGGAGACCCAGAAGAAGCTCCTAGCTTCGGATCTCCTCAATACCAGCCATTGTGGCCACTTAGGGAGTGAACCAGCAGATGGTAGCTCTTTATCTCGGTCACTTCTTCTCTTTGTAAATCCGACTTTCCAATTAAGAAAAAAGTAAATCATACAAAAAAAAAAAAAAAGAAAGAAAAGAAAAAAAAAGGCAGATAGAAAGGGAAGAGAGAGTTCCCACCTGCTGTTTCACTCTCCAAATGCCTATAATATCCAGGGCAGGGTCACGACAAAGTGAGAACCTAAAACTAAATCTGATGCTCCCCGGTGGGCAACAAGAACCCATGTACTTAAGCCCCACCTGCTGCCTCCCAGAATGCACATTAGCAGGAAGATGGGACCAGAAGCAGGTCTAGGGCTAACTGAACCCAGTCACTCTAGTATGGGATGTGGGCATCCAAAACAACACCTCAATCACTGGGGTAAACACCTGCTCCAGCTGTGTGACTTTGAACAAGCAACATAGGTGTCTACTTATCTATAAAATGGGCTCAACGACTACCTATTATATAACAAACAATTCATTGTCCTGTGTCCTTGGCTCCTGGGAAGTAGATTTTAAACCCTTGAATTTTGTGTGCTAGGTGTGTCTTTGTTGTTTATAGAACTTGTTAGATCACACCTGAGTTTACACAAATAGATGAGATGACTCAAGACAGGAGATGGTCGCCAGAAGGGCAAACAATGCAACTCCAAGGTTGGGGCTTTGAGCCAGCCAAATCTCCAGGGAGCAGAGTCTACAGACTGAGTCTAATTCCATGACCAGGGAATAAATCAGGTCAATGTAAAGAAGCTTCAAGGTCACCAAATTCCAGTAGAACTTTCTGGCTGGTGAACATGTTGGTGTGTTTGACAGGAGGTCCTGGGTGCTCTGATTCCATGGAGAGAAGTGCTGGTGCTTTGCACTCAGATGCCCCCAGATTCCACCCTTACGTACTTTACGTTAGCTGGGCCTGATTGGTATTTTTTATAATAAAACTATAATGGCAAGTTCAGCACTTTACTGGGTCCTATTACTTAAAGGAGCCATGCAAACGCTGGAATTTGCAGCCAACTTTTCAGCAACATAAGTGGCAAGCATAAGTGGCCAGTGGCACCTGAATGGTCTTTTTGGAGATCATGCCCTTGAACTTATGGAGTTCGATACTAACTCTACATGTCTAGTCTCGGATCTAAACTGCATTTCTGTATACCCCGTTGTGTCACAATACACTGCAAACCTGTATAGGGTTAAGTAAGAAAACATACATATGCCACTTCTCACAAATAATACTGACTTCCTCATAGGTCTGAAAAGATTAAATAAGATAAAATCCATGAAGCCTTTAGCATAACTACAGCACCTGGGACTATTTTTTTTATTGTTGTTTTAAAAATATGGAATGCTTCATGAACTTGCGTGTCATCTTTGCACAAGGGCCATGCTAATCTTTGTATCATTCCAATTTTAGCATACGTGCTGCCAAAGCAAACACCAGCACCTGAGTACTGTGAGCCACACACTGCTACTTGTGGGGCTCTCATTGTCCATTTTCATTACACAATGAGAAAGAGGCCAATTTACACAGAAAAGATAATAATCACAAATATGTGTGTGCCACACAAGAGATACAAGCCATGAGAAGCAGGAATTGACAGGACTTAAGGAGAAATGAATCAGCCAACAGCAACTGTTGGGGATGCCAACAGCTTTCTCCACGGCTAGCGGGAAAAGCAGGCAGAATATCAGCAAGGATATGCAAGAACTCCCAGTATCAGCAACCATCAGATCCTATTTAATATTTATGGAATGCTGCAGTGATAAAAACAAAATAGGACACAACAGATTGTCTTGGATCTATTTAAGGTCACACAGAGAGAAATTTATGACAAATGGAAGAAAAGTCTCAGATGAATATTCCTATCTCCCGCCTATAGTACATAGAAAAGGAAATAAAATAGACCCAGAGCAAACAGAGGTAGGAACTGATAAACAGCTGAACAATGAAACCGAAAGCCAGCATCAAAAAAGGGCTGATGCTTTGAAAAACCTCAATGAAACCGTAAATCTCTAGCGAAACTGGTCAGACTATATAAATTTCCAGCACCAGGTATGAGAAAAGGGTCAGTGGGCAAAGGAAGGGTGCAGCAGTACTGTTCTGTTACCACTCCTAGCAGCAGGGAAATCTCCAGTTTTCTCCAATAACCTTAAATATTACAGGTGTGCTTCTCACTCTTACCTGAATTTGGATAGTTTGATGTTTTCACCAGAGTGTCAACTTTTACCAATTTTTTTCTCATGTGCTGAAAATACTCATATATTTTTTCCTCATTTATAATGAGAGTTATTTGACTGTAGGATGTCAAACCAGTCTTGCATTCCTGGGATATAACATACTTGGTCATGATGCATTAATCCTCTTATAGACTGTTGAATTCAAATTGCTAATATTTGCTTAGGATTTTTACATCTATGTTCACCCCATGTCTTTCAGACACCCATGAGAACAATCGACGGTACCAGTTTCTTGTACAGCCTTCTCATGCTTATACAAGCAGGCATTTTCTCAGCCATGGTCCACACATAATTTTTTTCCATCACTTACAACTGTTAGCATATTATTTTGTATTTTGATCATCTCCCACCTTGGTTTTTTTTTTCCTATGGCATTTTATTTCCTTGAAATTAATAAACAGTAAAATACAAAACTTGACAAAGCTGGATAGGCCAGACAGTCATTCGTCATATTATTTTGGTTCCTCCTTTCCTTCCTTTTGTCCAATTGAACAATAGTTGGCTGTGAGGTATTTTCGGGGTTTTGCCTGCCGCGGAGGAATAGAACGTACGGCAGATGCTTATCCAGGGAATTTGCTGTGTCTAAATGACAACGCCGTGGATGCTGTAGATCGGATCCTGTCACCCACCCAGGGCTTAGCTGGTCATTGGGTCTCTGCGTGACGGAACCGTGTGCTGGGCGTTGGAGGACGACGCATCCGCCCGACACCTTGCAGGCGCGCAGCTCGCGGGAGCGGCGGCTCGGGGCGGGCCGTTCGGGTCCCCGCCCATCCCGGCGCGGTCAGAGGGCGGGCGTGCGGACGCCGCGGCGGGTGCGATGCGACAACCCGCGGTTCGGCTGCTGTGGCTGGGCCGGGTGCAGTACGGCGAGCTCCTGGCGCTGCAGGAGCGCTGGCTGCGCCGGCTGCAGGCCGAGCCAGGCCCCGACGCCCCGTCGGCGACCGAGGCGGGCGCGCTCCTGCTCTGCGAGCCCGCGGGGCCTGTGTACACGGCCGGGCTGCGCGGAGGTTTGACGCCCGAGGACACTGCGCGTCTGCGAGCCCTGGGCGCCGAGGTGCGCGCCACAGGCCGCGGCGGCCTAGCCACCTTCCACGGCCCCGGCCAGCTGCTGTGCCACCCAGTGCTGGACCTGCGACGCCTCGGCCTGCGCCTGCGCATCCATGTGGCGGCGCTGGAGGCGTGCGCAGTGCGCCTGTGCGAGCTGCAGGGCTTGCGGGGCGCGCGTGCACGGCCCCCGCCCTACACGGGCGTCTGGCTCGGGGAGCGCAAGATCTGCGCCATCGGTGAGCGCCCGGGGACCTGGCGGGGCTGGACCAATGAAGGCGCGAGAAGGGCTGGGGCCGGAGAGGATGGATCCGGCGCGTTCTTTGAACGCCAGCCACCTGCTGCATTGAGGGAGGGTTTGCTAACTTCCCCATAAGAGGCTGAGGGGTCCTCAGAAGTCGGTTAGTCCTACATCATCCGTTGGAGAGACAAGGAAAGTGACTTGGTAATTTACTTCTTAAGAGTCCCAGTGGAACCCTGAGGGGATTTAATTCTCCACTGTGTTCAGGTGCATTCCTGAAATAAGCTTGAGCTACATTCTTGCTCCCCTGCCGCAGGTGGTTGCCCCAAGGGCAAAATTTGATCCCTGGAGACCTAGTCTATTGCATTGCAAAGGATCCGGAAGCTGAAAAAAGAGAGGGTGGGGAAAGTATCTCTCCTAAGACCCTGTGACTTGCCTTGCAGGTGTCCGCTGTGGAAGGCACATCACATCCCATGGGCTGGCACTGAACTGCGCTACTGACCTCACGTGGTTTGAGCACATTGTGCCGTGTGGACTGGAGGGGACAGGTGTCACTTCGCTGAGTCAAGAGCTGCAGAGGCACGTCTCTGTGGAAGAGGCGATGCCGCCCTTCCTCGTGGCCTTTCAAGAAACCTACAAGTGCACATTGATCTCCAAGGACAGCCCCATCTGATGGACGTTCATGCGACCCGCAGCCAGGGCGGCCTTGCCTTGGAAAGCACCACTGTCTGACTTGAGAACCTGGCACCCAGGTTGGAGGCCAATGCAGTTCCTGAATGACAGACTGAAGTGCCACCAGAAGCTCTAAGCGGTTGTTGCCATGTGTATTATGGTTTGTTCATAGCTTCCTTTGCCTCCTTTGCCTACCTCAGAGATAACAGATGTGAAAACGCTATGAAAAGCCTCCACAACTATAAGAAATAGTGCTATGGACACCAGCCTCTCAGTTAAGAGAAACAGATGTCACGGATGGTCAATTATCAGTTATTTGTTCCTTCCTTAAAACCATCTCTAATCGGGTGTTTCTGGCTTTGATTTTTGTGGGGTTCGGGTCTCCGGTTGGTCCAGGTGAAGATGCCCAGTAAGATGTAGTGCTTTTTTATTCTCAAGAGATCTGGATGCCTTTTGCAGTAAAGGGAAGGTAGAGATTTTGACCTCCTGGCTTGGAATCCCCACTTTTGGTCATTTAACTCCTTTCTTTCCTGATACACTTGAACTGGACCGAAGGCAGGGAGAAACACCAGAGTCATTTCTCCCATTGTCCACATGCAAGACAGAATTGAGTGTTCACAGTTATGTAATTCTGCCTAACAAATCACTAAATCCTAGAGATTCAACAATAAGCGTGCATGGTGTCATTTTTCTCTGTGTGGACCAGGGATTTGGGAGAAGCTTAGCTGGGTGTTTGCAGTTCAGGATCTCCCACAATCTTGGGAGTCAGGAATGTCCGCTGGGGCTACCACCATCTGCGGTCACGAGTCGGGAGGAGGAGGGTCAGCTTCTGGGATAGCTCACACACTTCCTGGTGGTCCTGCATGTGGACAGGAGACCTCAGTTCCCCCATAGGCCTGCTGGAGGTCATCATAACAGACAAAGGAGGGAGCCATGTCTTATGGGACCTCTTGGTGGGACTCACACTCGTTTTTGCAATCTAGCAAGAGAGAAGCCCTGTGCTGTGTGGAAGGGCTTCCCACGCATCAGGAGAGCCAAGGTGCCGGGGAGGGGGAAGGGTGGGCATGCTGCAAACTGGCTTCTGCAGCATCCTGTATTAAGAGTCAAAAGGCTCTGGTTCCAGTCCTGCTTCAGTGGAAACATCTTGTCCTCTCACAGGCTTTCTGTCTTCCCTTTGACAGGTGCTATTCAATATTAATAGAATGTCAGTCACATTGTCCTTTGACATTAGCCAGAAACCATGCTAAGAGAGTAATAAGAATTGAGTAGTATCTGGGGCCCGGTGCGGTGGCGCAAGTGGTTAAAGGTCCTCGCCTTGCACGCCCGGGATCCCATATGGGCGCCAGTTCTAATCCCGGCAGCCCCGCTTTCCTTCCAGCTCCCTGCCTGTGGCCCGGGAAAGCAGTCGAGGACGGCCCAAAGCTTTGGGACCCTGCACCCGTGTGGGAGACCGGGAAGAGGCTCCTGGCTTCGGATTGGCATAGTATCGGCCCGTTGCGCTCACTTGGGGAGTGAATCATCGGACGGAAGATCTTCCTCTCTGTCTCTCCTCTCTGTATATCTGCCTTTCCAATGAAAAAATAATAAAAATAAATCTTAAAAAAAAATGAAATGAGTAGTATTGGTTTTAGTATACTTTAATTAGCACAGCATATTAAAAACATCAACTTGTATCAATACAAATGCATTACGAGATATTTTGCATCATTTTGATACTGAATCTTCAAAATCTGGTATTTCATGCTTGTAGCATTATTCAGTTTGTTCTAGCCACATTTTCTTTTGCTTCTTAAAGGCAACATAACATGGAAAGAGAGATGTTCCATCTTCCAGTTTATTCTCCAAGTGCCTGCAACAGCCAAGATTGAACCAGGCCCAAACCAGGAACCTGAAAAACTATCTTTCTCACCCACAGGCAGCAGGAATCAAGTAGTTTCGCCATTACCTGCTTTCTCCCACAGTGTGCATTAGCAGAAAGCAAAGTGGGGTCTCTAACCCAGGTACTCCTCTGGGGTATGGGGTTCCTAAGCATCAAATGCCTGCTTTCATTTTCTAGTCATGTTTTGAAGCGCCTGCTGATCACTCGGGAGTAGGCCTCTATAACCATTCCTACAGCTAAAGCCCTTTTACACCGCAGAGTTTTTGTGGTCTTGCTGGCTTCTGGAAAGCAAGGAAGGCAATTCCCCTGGTTTTTGTTTGTTTGTTTGTTTGTTTTTAAGAAGTGTTTATCCATTTGAAAGGCAGAGTTTTACAGAGAGGTGAGGGGAGAAAGAAAGGATAAAATCTTCCATCCCCTGGTTCATTCTCCTAACTGCCAGCAATAGCTGGGGCTGGGCCAGGCTGGAGACGGGAGATTGGAACATCATCTGGGCCTCCCACATGGGTGCCGGGGCCCAAGGACTGGGACCATCTTGTGTTGCCTTCCCTGATGCGGTAGCAGAAAGCTGGATTGCAGCAGCTAGGACTCAAATTGGTGCTCCAATATGGAATGGTGTTGTTGAAGAGAGTGTTTAGGGCCCAGCACAATAACGTAGTGGTTAAAGTCTTTGCCTTAAATGCACCGGGATCCCATATGGGCACCAGTTCTAATCCCAGCAGCTCCACTTCCCATCCAACTCCCTGTTTGTGGCTTGGGAAAGCAGTTGAAGACAGCCTGGAACCTTGGAACCCTGCACCTGCATGAGAGACCCAGAGGGAGGTTCCTAGCTCCTGTCTTCGGATTGACGCAGCACATGCTGTTGCGGCCACTTGGGGAGTGAATCGTCGGACGGAAGATCTTCCTCTCTGTCTCTCCTCCTTGTGTACATCTGCCTTTCCAATAAAATAATTTTTTTTAAAAAAAGACAGTGTTTAAACTGCTGTGTCACAACACCATCCCCTCATTTCTTCAGTACAGAAGTACATTTCTTCTTTACATCAGTTGTTCAAGCTGAAAAGGAGTAAGTGAGATCTTCTACTCCCATATTATATAGAAATGAAACCAAAGATTAGGACAAATCTTTTTCCAGGTCGTGCAGTACATTAATGAGAGAACCAGGGGAGAGTCTCAGATGTAAACCCCTTTCTCATCCTCTTCCTGCTATGCACACTGAGTGACATGTACACATTGCATGTCATAGACACTCCATCAGTATCGGTTAACTGATGGCTGGTCTACCCATAGTCTGTCCTTTATCTTTCTAGGTTTTGTTTCCTGTCCCTGGGACTGCTGCTGTTGGAGGGGTTGGAGTAAAAGAGTGCTTGAACACTGTCTCACAGGGTTTACACCCTAAGAAGGGAAATCATACTTGCAGGTTTAGGCATTTTTCTCCCCATCTGATGTTCAGCCTCCCTCACCCAAACAGATGACCATACTGCTCTGAATACCTCCAGACTCTAGGGAAGATGTGTTGGTTTAGCAATCCCTTACAGAACCAGCTGCTGCTCAATCACATACATTCTCCTGTGCCGTGCTGGCCTGTCGTTCTTGACCTGAGCATCCTTCTGCAGAGTGTGGGGATCTGATAGCCTTGACCTTTCCTGAGCCTTGGTTTCATGACATGAAATAAAGATGTCCTTAACGTCTACCTCGGAGCATGTTAAGGATGATGTCACTGGGCCAGTGTTTGGCTTCATGTTTAGTAAGCCAATGGAGGCTCGCAAGTACCCCTGCAGAGTGCCTTGCTTCAACTCCCAGCCCCAGCTTTCTGTTCCAACTTACTGCTAATGCAAGAGCCTGGGAGGATTCAGGGATGGCTCAAGTGACTGGATTTATGCTACCCACATAGGAGACTTGGATTGAGTTCCTAGCTCCTGGGTCTGGTGCCAGCCTACCTCCAGCCACTTGGGACATTTGGGGAGTGTTTATGTGTCTGTTTCTAGCTCTCTGAAAAATGAAAAGATGTAATTGCAGGTAACACATTGAATCTAGTGCTGGCAGGGAGGAAATGCCCAGGAAATACTATCCTCATTACAATCCATTCTCCACGTGCCTTTTCCAGCGACACTGGCCCCTAGTCCTTTCCCTTGCTTTCATGGCAGCATCTCCACAGGTGTAGAACTGGGTGAGTCCTGCTTCCCTCTGTAGTTCCAGCACCAGGCCTGTCATAGAGAAGACTTGCATTAGTATTGAGTAGAAATTAACTATTTAAAAACTGCCCCCCTGCCTGAGCATAGCCCCAGTACCTGCAGTTGGGCCCAGCATGCTCAGTATGGACAGACCAGTGCAGACCATGGCAAGCTCTGGCTTCCTGTGCTGGGCACACGTGTGTTCTTTTTTATCTATAAGATTGTTATTTTTTTTTATGAATTTTTCTTTTGAAGACGGAGTTACAGAAAGAGGGAGAGAGAGAGACAGGAACAGAGAGATCTTCCATCTGCTGGTTCACTCTCTAGCTGGCTGGAATGGCCTAAGCTGGGCCAAGCTGAAGCCAGGAGCCAGGAACTTCATTTGGGTATCTCACTCATTTGGACCATCCTCTACTGCTTTCCCAAGCACATTATCAGGGAGCTGAATGGGAAGTAGAGCAACCAGGGCTTGAAGCGATATTCCTATAGGATGTCAGCATTGTAAGCAGCAGCCTTACTGCCTACACTACAATGCCAATCCCTAGCCTATAGCACTTACAGATGAATGGGGAATGCATGTTGCTTCTGAGCTGAGGCACTGAAGAACAGTTGAGGCCAGACCCTTCAGGGCTGCCCTTTCTGAAACAGTGACCAACCACAATTGAAGATGGCGGCTGGGAGTTCAGTAAACTGCTGCTGATGGTCACATGCTGGAGTAGAGTTACAACATACCATCACCTAGCCTAACCAGCACAACATGTTGATATGGTTTAGATTCCTGTGGTGGCTTATGTAGAAACTCATCTCTAACTTATGAGGACCACCAGGAAAGGGGGTAATTGGAAAAAGTACATGGAATCTCAGACTGCAAACATTCTATGCATGGATAACTCTTGGGCACAGGTGAGCTCCAGAACAGATCAGAGCATGAAGCCAGGAGGAGCCTGGGCAGTCTCTTCTTTCCTCTTCTCTGCTGTGCTTCATAGTTTGCATTCACTTTAGTTCACTTTTCTGTTTCCCAAGCTTTGTGGCAGAAAATGGCCATGACTGCACCTGCTGTTGTTGCTATTTTCTGTGGATATTGGGGCTGGCGCCAAGGAAATTTTAGGTTTCTGGGCTGAGTGTTTGGACAGGTGAACCTCAGAGGTAGGATGAAGAACCCAGGATGAGGACCAAGTTTGGAGAGGAAGCTGGTGAGTTTGGTTTTGCTAAATCATGTTTGAAAACACTGATGGGTGAGACAGAGAGACACTGAGGGACGGTTGGGTGTGAAGACTTGGAACAGGTGTTCACTAAGTGATACTTTACGTCTGGAATGCACAAGAGGGGAAGGAAGAAGCCCAAAAGACTGTCCCCTGGAAGCCCAGCAATGTGAGGTGGGAACCGAGGCTTGCAGAGGTTGGGCGACTTTGATGGGGTCATGCAGAGTAAAGGCAGTGCTGATCCCTGGCTCCCAGCCTGAGCTCTGACAGACTGAGGAGGGCTGGCATCCCAGAGGAGATATGGGGGGCAGTGATCAGTTCCATCCGTTGAGGACACAGAGCAAAAGGCCAAGTCCGCAGCAGCGAGGCCTATGCAAGCAAGCAAGACCAGAGTCTCCTTCCTGCGGGAAGGATTC